CAGAACAGAGATGAATGTTATTGCTCTATCATACAACTTAAATTCTGTAGTTCCGTAGCCCTTGCCACAAGTAACTCTTCCTTTTTTCAAAGGTATACTGATGTAACGGTATATTCATGATTTAATCTTACACCACAGTACAGATTATCAAAGCATCAAAATTTCAATTTTTTCATATGGATTTGAAAAAAAGTCTTTATCTCTTCTGAAGTACACAAACTGCATTTTAACTTTTCCTACCTCTGAATAAGCAAATGCCAACATCTTCATCAGATGATGAGACCACTTGCCTGAAAGTTACGCTGACAATTTTAACACTGTTCCAAATACTCATTTTTGCTGATTTGAACATAAAAACTATATATTATGCTGACAGACATTATCACCTGAAGTTTCCCAGCAGTCATGATTCTTGTACAGACTCACATTTTGTGCTTACAATTTAGATTAACTGGGCAACTCCAATTATTTTGCAAATTATTTAGGGTGAAAATATACACCAATATACATATTGGTGTATGTATATAGGTAACATATCTTATATAACATTATTATGTATATAACATTAAGGCATGAAAAAAGAACTGGAATTCCCAGACAGTAATACAGCGTATATTATATTTAAAATGGCTTTCATATTTTTTCTGTACTTTTAAGTTTTTCTACCTTATTCCTATGTATCCTATGTTTGTATCACTAGTACTTTTGCTACAACTGAAACAACCATTAATGGAGAACTGTTTTACTTAGTGGTGTCTTCTATCAAGATTAAACTCCACTTTGACTACCAGATTTTCTCATTCCTCTAAAAGAGCATTCCAGTACCAGTTGCAAATCTCACAACTGTTTGTTTGTTTTTTCCTTTACAGATGTGATTCTGCTGATAGAAATTCAGAATCTGCATATTTGTAAGCTTAATATTTAAATGTTCCGGAACTTTTTCTCCCATATAGTAAATAACTGTTAACTCTGCAAAAATATTTGTAGATTTATCTCTCTAACGTCTACCCAAGTTATTTCAGGTGAACAGATGCTAGCAGAATTGAACCACACCCAGGATTTATTAAGAACTTTCACAATAAAATAAGCTACTATTATACAAAAATTTGTAAATATGAAAAATTACGTTGCAAAATTAGAAAGCTGTCTTTTCAAGAAACTAAGACAATAGACCTTTTCCTGTTTCATATGCATCACATAACAATAAAGCTATCTACGGTCCTACAGTGCTCTTCCACAACTTTACATCTCAGAGCTGTGCTAATCAGCACATCTCAACTCTTACATCAGCAGAGAATTCTCCTGTAACTTCTGAGATGTTATTGGCACCCTGAAATTAGTGGTTTCATGTACCCATTTCCACCGGCATTCAACAAGACACTATGTCTAACAATCAAAGCCTTAGCGTATTTCCAGAGTACAAAACTATAAACAGATAAAGAAAGGAGGCCAGTTGTTAATGTCAGGTTTTTAATCAGATCTATTTTCTCTAAGAAAATAGTCGTGTCTACATAACATGTTGCTTGGCAGGGACATTTTTTTTTTTTTTTAGCAACACCTACATTGGCTCATTCATTCCTGATCTGACTGTAACTGCCAACTCTTTTTCACTCAAAGAGCACATATTGGCTAGCCAGTCACCAAATAACCTGCTGCTCTGATAGCTTCAGCCTAGTATTCCCATCTCAAAAGGAAGAATGTCATAAGAAAAGGGCAGGAAGGTATTAGCAGTGTACTTAAACGTTAGTTGATGTTGATAAATCAAAGCCTGAAACAACTTACTTTCCAGCATTTTTGGTGCATTTTTAAAAGATAGATCTTCCCATTTTGTTTGTTTTCAATTTATTTAATCACTTTCTCCTGTTAATGTTTTTCTTAGTGATCCAGTTTTAGCTGCCAAATGACATCCAAAACTTTCTTTTTCTGCCAATGACTTCTGTAAAGTCTTTTTTTTTTTCAATTTTTTTTTTAACCTTGCACATTACAAGATTCATATTTCCTGTCATTTGGAACCACACAGTCCTTAGAAAGGTTGTAAAATCAGTTTGCGTACAAGCACTGATGGAAAACATTCTAAAAGTGCTTTTCTTAAATAGCAATTTGAAAACATGAGTCAAAACGTTGCATTAAGCAATGTAGCCCCTCTGCAAATGCTGTGCTACTGCATCAGAGACCACTTGAAGGAAAAAACAATATCAATAAAACCAAGGTTATGTTTTCTCTCCCTTCACTATTTACAATGTCTTTAGGAGAAATAGTATTAGTATGATCTGAAGGAAATGACTAAAACTTGTCAGTAGCTTATTTTTCAAGTTAGCAGCAAGAACTCTTATAAATGCAAAACCAGAGCTGAATATGGAAATTGAAAGCCACTTTTAAAATAATTTGCAGTCTTTAATTGTATTCAGTCAACAATTCTAATAAGTGTTCAAATTCAGATATGTAGTTAAATCATGTAAAGGAATATTTCTACAAATAGCCTTTTTTCCTGATGCGTATTATTCAAAATGACTCAAAAAGAAGTCAAAACACTTACCCGCTGACTTCTAATCTGATGTTTCACTCCTACAGCCAGTTGTCTAAAGGCATTTTCTACATTCTAAAATAATTTTACTGGTTTGAAGGGAAAGCAGTGATTGTTGCTTTCCTCATCTTTCAAAAGGCTTTCCATAGTGTCTCCCATAATATCCTCACAGACAAACTAATATACAGACTAAATAGGTGGATAGTGATGCAGACTGAAAATTGCCACCTCAAAGGACTATGATTTAGGGAGGGCTGCTTGAGTTAGGGCAGTTTGGTTAGGTTGCAGTTAGACTCTATGATCTTTAAGGTCTTTTCCAACACAAGCAATTCTATGATTCTGCAATGAGCAGCACAAAATCAAGCTGGAAGCTGAACTCATTTTCAACTACTATGAGACACAACAGTTTAACACCTTCATTAATAATTTAGGTGATCTAAAAGAAGTTTGCGGATGATATGAAACTGGGAGAAGTGGCTGATAGGCCAGATGGCTGTGCTGTTATTCAAGGGCACTTGACAGGCTGAAGAAACAGGCTGTCCAAAATGTGGGGAAGTTCAGCAGAAAGAATTGCAGTGTCCTGTACCTAGGGGTGAGCTTAGACTCTGGTGCAGACTGAGTGCTGAATGGCTGGAAAGCAGCTTTGCAGAAAAGGACCTAGACATACTTGTAGATAATCAGTTGAATACAAACAAAAAACATGCCCATGCAGCAAAGGCCACAAGAACTCAAACATCAATGTAAGCCATACAAAATTTAAAAATAATTAGAAAATCAAACAGATAACTAAAGAGAGTCAAACACATAAGGTGAAGTGGAAGGTATACATATTGAAGCCCAAGCTAATCTGAAATTTGGCAGTAAAAAAATTTCAGGGTCAACAGAGCTGCTATTTATCAATAGAGGTGCTTATGTTAATATGGTTTGGTACCTAGATCTTTGGCATATAAAAAAAAAAAAAAGTAATGAGAAAGGCTTTATCAGTGTGATCCCTCAAAGGAAAAAGTGTTAAGTTAAAATTAGAACATTTGAGTGACGCTTGCACCATCAATAAAGCAAAAACAGAGAACAAGCCACAAGTATATATGCATGTTTTTTTTTTTTTGTTTGTTTTGTTTGTTTTGTTTTTTAAGGGAAAACTTGTTTGGAAGCTGTTCTCACCATCTAAGGTGTTCTCTTATAAACAGCTTGGCTGCATCAGTTGAAATTAAGTTCTTCTATTAGTTGCCTCCATTTCTTTTGGAACTTTTTTAAGAAAGTACACGATAATGAAACAATGAAGTCAATATCTGCACATGCTCCCTGCATATGCAGAGAAGTTTAGCTTATTTAGAATTTTCTAGTTTTCTACCCAGGAAATTATTGTACAGCACAAACATGCATATAAATAAAAACAAGGAGAGAGACAGAAGAGAGACAAGCAGATACAGAATATTTACTAATGAGTTCTTGCACTATCCCTTGCCTGGATATAGCTTCATTATTTGTAAAGTGATTATGTTCATTACATCTGTAGATTTTCATGAAATTATAGAACAGTTCTAGCTGGAAGGAACCTTTATTTTCCACAAGAACACCTTGTTAAAGTGATAAGGAAAGAAGTGCAAACCAACAAACTTCATCCCAACATGAAGCATTTCTGAAGAAATAAGAGTGGTAATGAGATTTGTGTTTTAAGAGAGGTGAATGAGATAGGTTTAAAAGAACAGTTTATTTGCAACATGTACATCAGCACACATCTCTTTTTTAAAACACACAATATGTTAAGTACATTAAGTATGATCACTATCATAATTTTTTAATCTTCCTCCAAAACAGTTTTATAGCCTAACACACAGATCATATAACTAGATAGACTGATACGGATTCTCAAACACTTTTCAAACAGAATTGGATATTGAATAGCCTTTCCCTTTCATGACGAAATTATATCAGTGTTCTGAGAATTTACAGACATTACTCTTGGAGGCCAAAAAAAGTAGCCTTTCAGCCAGTGATGACATGTATCAACACAAGGATTAGTAAGCAAAATATGCATAGAAAATACAATCTTGCTTAGTAATATATTACATGAATTGAGAATAAGAATTCTTTTCTATGATTACAATTTACCAAAATTGCTTGCATTCTTAATCATTATACTTAGTCTTTTTCTGTTGGGGGATGAGGGACAAGTGAATGGGGAGAAAAGAAAGAAAGATGAGGACAGAATTTCAAGACTAAATTCAACAGGATCCAAAGTCAAATGGCATTGATAAAGTAGTTCTGATATGTCATTTATTTAGAACCGTGGCACTAAGTAAGAATGGCTTTTGTGGAGTTAAATCAGTGGATCTGAAGGATTTAGTGTGGAATTTTTGGTGAGCATTCTATATAATGTTTTTTTAATGAGGTTTTTTTTTTTAAAAAAAAAAGAAAAGAAAAGAAAAGAAAAAGATCTAGTAACTGGAACTACTAAATTGATGTAGCTTACTAAATTGATGTAGCTTTTAAGTACAAAAACATCAAAGAGATCACACATGCATTTATGCATGCTTAAAACAAGGGAGAAAGAGAAGGGCTTAGAAAAGAATAAGAGAACTAGTGGGCAGGAGAGAAATCAGGTAGAGGATTTAGATCACTGGGGCACGCAATTGGATTAGGATACCAGATTAGCATCTGCAGCAAGGATAGAGAGGACAAGCAAAAAGAGTAAAGTTACTTAACATGTTGTCAATTTTCTCTTGGAAGAAGCTGGTTGGGTCTTGTGCAAAGAGAGAAATGCACTCATCCTTCAAATCTGCCTTTTATCCAGCATCTATGTCCTGAAAGAGTCAAATGTGTAGAGGATAAGTAGGGTTTGGGACTAGGAATTTGACAAAAAGTTTAAGAGCAAATGCAACAAGGTCACTCAATTTTGAGTTTTCTCTCTCAGCAAGAGAAAATACTTACAAGAGGTGAATTTGTAATAACTTTAGCCAGATGGTGCTTAATGAAGAGGGTAGTAAAAAAAAAAAAAAGATCAACAGGAGAAAATTACTGTTCTAACAACAAAGGTTGAAAAAGTGAAAGCTAGTAAAGGAGTTTAGAGAAAAAGTGCAATTCATTAACAATGATGAGCTGGTGGTAGATCTAAAGAAAGGATCTGAAGAGCCTTCATAGGCAAATGAAAGGTTAAGATAGAAAGAACTGAATCATTAAGGGTAAAAGATAGAAATGCTAGGTGAGAAAAATTTTAGTAAGAAGTCATTTTATTAAGTAGAGATATTTCTCATCTACTGGTAAAGAAATGTAGTCAAGGAAACAAGTCAGTTCACAGATCTGAATTACCCACTTGAAAGCTAAAAATTACTACTGAGATACTAATTGGAAAATGCGGATAGAAGAAAAGGATAACTAATGAAAAAAAGACTATTACTGTTAGTGTTTCTGAGTTGGTTACATAGTTTTAAAACCCAGAGTGTAAAAGAGGACAAGGCAACATTACAGAGACACGCATGAATGATACAGGATATAATGGCAGAAATTAATAAATTAAAGAGATCACTGAGTACTGAAAATGTGAGTGGCCAGTTAGCTAGATAATAGAGAATTTTACAGCAAAGGGTAACTTCATCATCACAAACAATTCAACTGCCACTGCATCATAAATTATCATTTTTCTTGCTCAGTAGAAAGTTCAGTAGTCTGTGACTGTAAAGCTTACTATGCACTGAAGATGAACCATGCAGTGATTGAACTATGAATTTAACAGAAACTGATAGTTTAAAAGTTAGGTGGATGATAGTCCAGCCCCAAATACTGTGGTCACAATCCTAATTTCATTAGGACTCTTAAAAAAAAAAAAAGAATCTGCCCTATTCTTTAAAAACTGGAAGATTGAGTTGGTCTATAGAATCGTAGACATAGAAAGATTCTTTGCCACATCACAGGCAAAAGGATGCATAGTATTCCTCAAAGAATACAGAAGTATTTAAGTGCTAGAAAATATTATCTATATTAAATAATATAATTTATATTTCAGTACATTTTCATTTTAGCTTAGGCCATCTTATGTATACTTGATGTCCCCACAAGTACTGAAAGACAGTTTTTGTCACCTGAGAAATTTTTCTAAGGAAAGATCTTTTATCTGAACACTCCACCAAATCACTTCTCTACAGGATGATGTAAAATGGTTGTACATGAATACTGTAGTAGTTACTGAAACTGGTGTTGCTGGTTCATGCTATCATATGCATGATGTTATGGATTTTTATTTTATGGTTCCTTTTAATCTGGAAACACAGATTTCTTGTACAAATCCAGCACTTATGCCTTGGAAGCTTGGCATTTTTAGAGATAGGTATTCACAAGGACAACGTGTAATTTAATAGTTTGTGTTTAGCTACCCTCTGCTTAAGAGAGAAAAATAAGGTCATTCAGAACCTTGTTAAAAAAGACGCTAAACTGTAGGAGTTCAGAACTGCTAGACTAGCTTAGGCACTTGACAGGTACATTCTGTAAAAAGGATATAAGGGCTGGTCTTTCACTGCTAGCTTTCTCTACTGTTACTCTTTAAACTTGTAGAACAGTTCATAATGTTAGTTTGAACAACTGTTCGTAAACATCCAAAAAAAAAAAAAAAAACAAAACAAAAACAAACAACACCCCAGTAACTACATACTAACCTATATAGCATGTTAAATTTTAAACAGAGAAACAAAAAAATACATGTGAAACTGTATTTTTTTTAATCCACTCTATTTTGTAAAAGCAGATACACATGGATATTTGTGATTTTTTTCTTAGTGCAATGCTTCATAACTGTTCTCGTGAGCTAATTATAAATCCTGTGGATGTGCATGTTTTCTAATTGCTCTAAATGATTTGCAATTGCTGGGAGATCACCTTATTTTACAGCTTATACTTGGTGTCATGGTTACTGGCTAAGACAGTGAAAGCTGCCAAATTTTCTTATTTAAACAGGAAAAGCAAAAGTATGCAGCACCTATAAGTGAATAACTATCCATTACTTACTCTCTATATATGCACATAAACTTGCATCCACATACATATTAGAGCTTTTAAAATCCATTTTATTTGGTAGATATGATAGTAAAAGCATATTTTGTAAGTTTTTACACTAGTTACAATTTTTTTGTTTTGTTTTGTTCTTTTGCCAATGATTATCATTTACCTATTTCTTAGCAGGATATGTTGCTCCTACGCATTATCTGCCAAATTGTCTGGCCCTTTCCCTGTCACAGTGAGACTCAAAATCTGCTAGTTAATTTTTGTGGAGCTGGCACCTATGGGTATTTGCCTGTAAAAATATAATTGCTTCCTTCCTTCACTTATTTATTTCCTGACTTTAATGGTTTTGCTTAAAACATTAATGTAAGTGCCAGAAAAAGTTATTACTTGAATTGAAAACTACATGACCTGAAGATTCAAAATATCAAAAAGACATGTATTTTTATAGAATGTGAAAAGGACTTTTGCCTACTTTTTAATTCATCCATTCCTATGCTGGTAGTCTGTAACATAATTTAGAAGGCAAAGGTGACTTATCCACCTCCTGTCACTTTCAGTCTCTTCTAAACCTTGGGATACAGCACTACAAATTCTTCTGCTCTCTGATTGGCACAGTCATAGAATAAGAGTGTTAGATTGAGGTATGTGTTCAAAGGAGAAAAATTACTCAGCCATGTAAAAGTCTTAATGTACTTTCTGCCTGGGGGTTTTGCTAGTTTGTTTGAAATCTATAGATGACTCTTCTTTCTTGGGACTGAATTTTATATCTCTTTTTGTTCTGTGCTCATTTCAGCATTTTTTTTGCATGGAATTTAGAGAAGTGTGTACATGCCAATGAAATGAGGCTAACAGCCCCACAGGACTGCTGCTTGCCATGCAGAGGAAGTCTGGGGGGCTTGTAAGCTTCATAGCCCATTGAAAGAAATCTTGGTGTGAGAAACAAAATCAGAAAGAACAGGAAAACACACACAAAAAAGTTAAAAGGCTGCATAGTAAGGCTGGAAGCAGGCTGAGCAATTACTACCATCTTGTACCACCCAACTGGGGAGGTAAGCAGGAGAAGGAATGGGGGATTTGCAGATCAGAAAAATGTGAGGGAAATGACAGATCAGTAGAACAGGTAGAAAGATCTGATCTACAAGAATGAAGGCCACTTATCTCCAGAAGGTGAGAGGAATCTATGGCAGTTCAAATCTCTGCTGCTCTAGATAAGGGTCCCCACAAGGAGGAGAGAAAGTTTGTAGGGCACCAACATTTAGGGAAGAAAAGTTGAATGTGAGAGCCACAGTAAAACAGTGGTGTCTTTCAAGCTGTCTTTCTTCCACAAAATATCAACACTTACTTTTGAGCTCTTGCACAGGTGGACTCAGCAGTAACATTTTCACCAGCTCCTTCCTGGCTGGCTCCTGCACTGCAGATGATTTCCAGCCTATGACAGCTCCACAGGCCACAGTCAGTTCCTATTCTGCAGAACTGCCCAAAGCAAACAACCTGCTTTTAACAAACAAACAATGTTTAACCTCTGTTAAAAACATCCTTAAGTAAGGCTAATAAATATTCTCTCCCAATCTTCTCTAAGATGAGGTTTCACTCGCAAGCACAGGCTCAGGACCTCAGAATGAACTACTGCTTACAAGAAAACCAGCAACATTTCAGCCTGATTATTCAGAATGTTCAGCTGTATTTCAAAGAGTTGCAACTTCCCTGGCATGAGCGCCAGAGTGTTTTTAGCTGAAATACAAAACAAAGAGAAGAAATACCTCTTAAAATTATGCCAGTTGCAACATGTTAGAATTGTTAAATATCTGTTATTTCTCTGTAAGTTCTACAATGATTTAACATTAGTACATTTTGAATAAGAGACGTGAAGGTAAACGTTTCCACTTCTCACACAAAGAGGGAAATTCTGCTGTCTGATGTGGGTGATCTCTTACTGGCATTATACAGTTTTTTACTTTTCATTTATGAGATCCAGGCCTCTATTTGATGTTGGAATTCACATTTTCCTTGATCTATGAGAAACTTTCATGTATGTTTTTCCATTATTCACCAACTGTCTTGTAATATATGTGTGTTCTTTTTTATTTATGGGATCAAGGTGTTAAATCACACTCCTTGCAATGCCTGTTTTTCCTTTTGCCTCACTTCCCTAAGTGCTAACTCTTAAGGACTACACGCATGAAAAGAAACTGACTTCCTCATAGGCCATGACCTTTCATGCATAATATAAATTCACATATTATGGTTATAACATAGTTATAGTTATTCAAAAGTACTGCAGAGAGCTATTTGACATCACTGTATATATGTAAGGGCAAAGGGAATTGAGCTACAAAGAGAACCAACTGTTTTTATTAATGCACAATTTCATAACTAATCATTTTGTTGAAGCATAACATACATCTTGGGAAGTAATATATTTGTGCAAGACATTTGTAAATATAACTATGCATAAACGCTTGACTTCAAAGCATTCCTACTAGAGAATGACCATATTTTAACAAAATGCTCGTCTTTTTGTTAGAAATAGTTGTATTTGAGGGAAGAAGTGTATTACAAGGTATGCTCCTGAATATGAGCATACCTCACCTTTTCCAGGCTGAAAATCATGAAGTTAATTAAACAAAGTGCGTAGATGAATTCATCAGGGACTTGATTTTTACTATCATTTAGTGCTAGAAAACCGTTGTTTTGCAAAAAAAGTAAAATACTCTTAAGTTTAAGCTTTTGCATTCTCATTAGATTGAAAACAGCAGCTTCAAGACCAAGAATAATGCTTCTGTGCATCCTCCTATATACATAAAATTAAATTATGTTTGAAGTTATATAGAAGTTCTTCTTGCACTGAGGTAGAAACACTTTCGGGAGAAGGGTGAGCAGAGCATCAGTTATCATGGCTGATGCCATGTATGCATGACAGGCAAAAATATGATAACCCTCAAATTTACTGAGACTGCTAATTAGGACTGTTAAGTATAGCCTATAACATGCAATATTCTTAGCCTAGAAGCAAGTCTGACGGTCCCACTAATTTTAATAACCTTCTGCTAAAAATCACTGATCATTTGCTTCGAAAGATCTCTTCTGTTTGTGAACGTTCAGGTCTCTGCAGAGCTTTTTCTACTCCAGACTGACCAGCCCCAGCTCTCTCAGTCTGTCCTCATGGGAGAGGTGTTCCATCCCTTGGATCATTTTCGCAGAGTGGAGGGACAGTATCACCTCCCTTCACCTGCTGGCCACACATCTTTTAATGCAGCCCAGGATTCAGTTGGCCTTCTGAGTGGTGAGGGCATATTGCTGGCTCATGTCAAGCTTACCATCCACCAGTACACCCAGGTTCTTTTCAGCAGGGCTGTGCTCAATCATTTCAGCCCCAGCTTGTATTGGTAGCAGAGGTTTGCTCAACCCAAGACCTTGCACCTGGGTTTAGTGAACCTCATGAGATTCTACCAGGCCCACTGCTAGAGCCAGTCTAGATCCCTCCAGATGGCACCCTGTCTCTCAGGTATGTCATCTACACCCCACAGCTTGGTTTCATCATCTGCAAACTTGCTGAGGGTACACTCAACCCCACTGCTGATGAAGATTTTAAAAGATTGATGAAGATATTAAAGAACCTAGGTCCTAGCACTGATCTGCGAGGGATACCATTTATCACTGATCTGCATCCAGACAGAGAGCCACTGACCAGCATGCTCTGAATTTGATCCTGCAACCAGTTTTTTTTTTTTTAATCCGTCGAACAGTCCCCCCCCATCAAATCCTTATCTTTCAAATTTGGAAAGTATGATATTGTGGCGTACCATGTCAAAGCCCTTACTGAAGTCCAGATAGATGACATCAGTGTCTCTTTCCTTATCCATTGATGCAGTTATTCACCTGATAAGTATCAGAGTTGTGATCTTGGGATCTTCATTTAATAAGATACCAGTTGACTTAAAAAACAAACTTTTTCCATTTGCTTATCCAGCACTGAAATTAAAGCAGTGCATTGTTGTTTTTTCTGTTAATGGTAATTTAGCATTTCTATTTTTAAGAAACACATTACAATATGAAAATTAATATCTTGTTGTTGATAAGCAGAGCAACAACAAAAGAACTGCTCTTGCCATTACACTTTTTAGTTAATCTACATACAAAGGCTTGACTATCTCATGGGATAACATTAGCAAAGTTCTACTCTGTCTAGCAAGAGCACCAAACAAACAAGTTAAAACTGAGAAAACAAAATAAGTTAGCAATATATGGCTATTCAATGTGGCTCTTATGCTTTCTACCTTAAAACCCTCAGAGATAATAAATTTCCAAATAGAAACATAGCCTCCATTGTACCTTAAGTCTACACTACACAGAGGTGTTCTGTCACATTGTTTTAATCCTCTACCCTCAGAAAACTTGAAGCTGATACTATTTGAATATAAATTCAGAATTCTACTCTGCTGTTCGCAATCCCTGGGAACATCGTCATTCACATTTGCAATACTAATAAAACTCAGAAATTTGATTAAAGATAGTATAATCCCTTTGTCTTCTGATATATAAGGCTTACATTTCAAACAGTAAATAGAAAAACATGCTGTGAAACAACCATAATGTTATTTCAGTAAATCAAAACATGGTGCTTGTAAAATGGAGAAAAATTGAAGGGACAGAGTGACTAATCTCCACTGAAGAAATAGTTGCTTCAGATGTATGTTCTGCTGAATTTGCAGTATTCTTGGCAAACACATATGCAGTCTGAAAACTGAAAATAAAGATCTGCTTATAGTCAGTACTAACCTATTTCCCTTCTCCTTAGCCCTGATACTCACTGTTCATTACAGCAGATCAAAAGTTTCGACTTTTGTAAATTTTAGCTCAAAAGACAAGTTCATTTACCCCTGCCATTTCCATCCTTACAGCTTTACTGATTTTACCTTAGAATTACTTATAGATGCTATAGGCCAGCTACCACCAGACACGTTTTTCTTATTACATTTTAGCAGGAAGTGCTAAAACATCTATAGCTGATAACACTACTTAAAACCAGCCATGGCCTTCTACCATCAGAACCCACAGGCAAGATTGATATTGTACATGCATGATGTTCACACAAGTATTTCAAAGGATATTTAGCACAAACAAATAAACCACAGCTTCCATAGCTGTCGATTTATGATTTCTCATTCCACTGATTACTTTACTTGAAGAACCAATAGCTATTTATCTTTAGTAATGGGTGTGAAGAGACAGACAATTGATTTCTCTTACTTGCAAGTAGTGGAATGGTTCAAATTCTCCTTTGAAGAAAACAGTTGTGCTATGGGAAGCTAGGTTTCATTCACTGAACCATGACCACAGAAACAAAGAAGGAAGTGAGAAACCAAAACCAAAACCAAAACCAAAACCAAAACCAAAACCAAAACCAAAACCAAAACCAAAACCAAAACCAAAACCAAAACCAAAACCAAAACCAAAACCAAAACCAAAACCAAAACCAAAACTCCTTACTCTTAGAAGGTCTCAGGTAGGCAGTGATAACTTTACCTTCACTGCCAACCCTTAAATGAGATCTGGGAAGGCGTGGATCCTGACTCTACCTCTTTCAGTCACTCAGGGACATTGCATGCACCTGAGTTCCCTGGATTGGCCCTGCCTTCCCACCAGGTGCTCTATCACTTGCAGGCCATGACCTACAATTTCTACTACACCTACCAAGGGAATGTCACAATGTTGCTTGTAATACACAATTTCTGTTTTCAGTTAGACAGTAAAATGCACATGACAGTCTTTCATGCTCAAAGACATAATTTTCCACCAGCTACTGGATTTTGCTGCTTGAATCAAAGTACAGTCCTTGCTTCGGAAACTAAATTAGGAACAATGTGGTTTTATGAAAGAATATATATATATATATATCAAAATAATGACAAAGTTTACACATGAAGAGGAGGCTCAAGTGTGACCTTATCACTCTCTACAAGCTCCTGAAAAGAGGATGTGATGAGGTGGGAGTTGCCCTCTTCTCCCAGGTAATAGTGATAGGTTGAGATGGAACGGCCTCAAGTTGCACAAGGAGAGGTTCAGGTTTGATATTAGGAAACATTTATTCTCAGAAAGAGTAGTGAGGCATTAAGAAAGGATGCCCATGGAGTGATAAAGTTACAGTCCCTGGAGGTTTTGAAGAACATAGCAGGTGTCGCACTGAGTGACGTGATCTGAAGGTCACAGGTTGATGTTGAAAGCAAATACATCACTGGGATGGCTCAAAAATGGGAGAACTATTTGTGTTAAAGTCTTCTGCTACTCTACATAATAGCTAACGTTATTTAATTTCAGTCCTAAAATTGATTCCATATGTAGTGTATTGGAAGTTCTCTTGCCTGTATTGTTAACACTTCTCGCTGCAGTTAAATACAAGTTATAATTAGATCCTTTTCTCACACACACAAAAAAAAAATTAAATTTTGAATTTTTGAATTTTATAGTAAAGTGGGGAATTGTAACATTAAACGTATATAACTGAATACTTCTATGAAATAATTCTTTATAAACTAGACCTCATAAAACTCACTGCTACCTTTAAAAGCAATGAGAATCATTTAAATGTAACTTCCTTATTGTAACTGATTTTTTAAGCTTCAAATGTGAAAATCTGTTCTCATTATAGCCAATGAGGTAAAATGATCACACATTTCACAAGATTCAGGATTTCACCTGAAGGCTTTCCTTTCAGCCTTAGGACGAATAACTGGATGTAAAGCAAGAATGAATGAGGGTAAGAACTGAGCTGTTATTTAAATCACTTCAGTCATGGAATGTTCTGCAAAATCTGTCTTCAGCCCCGTAGCATCTGCAAACCCATGCATGCAGGATAACTACTCATCTACCTCCTCTTGTGTAAACAATCTACTGGCTGTGATGGTTTCTGGTGGTACATTTAGGCCATCTTTAGCTATCTGGTCTATTCATTACACAATCAAGTTTGTAAAAGTATCTATGGTTAGCACACAGAAGCAGTCAGCAGAAAGTGGCCCTCAGCCAGGGCAACTTGTCTACCTTTGAGAACGTATCACAGTTCTCAAAATAAAATCTTGCAAAAATATTGTGCAATTGAAGGGTCAATTGTTGGTGCATTAGCACTTAATTCCCTGGAATAGTGAAAGAGGAATGAGCTCATTAACAACAATATTTACTCCTGGAACAGGGTATAGAGGCAGTTCCTCTCCTGCTGCTCCATTTTGCTTCCCTCCTGCAGTAATTTCTCTACCCCATACATTCAATTTCCACAGACCATAGTGTCATCTGGCAGTAGTTGCACCTTTAGCAGCTGTTGCTGGATGTGCCACACACAAACCCAGCCAGCACACTGTAGACATCCTCCCTGAAGTCCAGTTGTGTTACTTGGATAATGCGCATTCCCCAGATGCTTTTTGCTTCTCTCTTCTTTCCCCTCTGCTACATGCAATGAACTGCTGGAAGGCGTTCTGTGAACTCTCCATAATCTCTTCAGGAAAAATCATCTAGGTTAATTTATACTTATTTTACTCATCAATTTGAGCTGATCTTGCTCTACTGCTCTGAGAATTGCACTATGTATTTTTAGGCTACTGAAATGTTTTCAATGTTTTTCAAGATATAGAATAAAAGAGTTTGTTTCTGCTGAAGTTTTAATTGAAACAATCACCCAAAAAAAAAATGCACTACACAAGAAAATACAATTCTAGACTATGTTTACCAATTGCCAGCATATTGACAAGCTTCATCGTCTTCACTAAAAGTAAGCATGGACAGTTAGCTTTCGCTCTCTTCCCACTGTTCTAATGACACAATCAGAGCTGCCTATTTCCTCTTCCTATTATTAAAATATGGAGGCCTTCCCTCCCCTTCCCTCCCCTTCCCTCCCCTTCCCTTCCCTTCCCTTCCCTTCCCTTCCCTTCCCTTCCCATTTTTTTATCCTTCTAACTCTTCTTCAAATCTATTTATTACTTTTAAATAATAGGATGATTTTAAATTGATTCATAACAGGTTAGTGAAGAATCATCTGTTGCTCTAGAGAACAGAGGTCCCTTCCAACTTCAGCTATTCTGAAAACATCAGTAAGTTTTACACTTTGGAAAACAAGGTATTATGAATGAATCAAACCAGCTTACTGATCTATCCCTAGCAATTTGCAATTACATGTTCTTCTGTACACAGATTTTATAGTAAAGCTACACTTTAACCTTTGAAAGTAGTTTATCTCAGAATGAAACATGGTGCTCTTGTCTTAGAATTTAATAATCCTATCTTTCCTGTACAATTGTGCAGCCAAATGTTATGCTTATAAAAAAATTGTCCAAAAAATGCATGCAGTTTCACACTTCATAGAAGTAAATAGTAAAATAATATTTTTTTTACAGCATAGCACATATGCTGGATTTTTTCCATGAATAAAACCACATTTATTAACTTTAATTTGGTCGTAAATTATTCTGTATAATTCTGAACATCCACCTAATGTTTTAATTTAAAGATTCATAATCCAATTGCACTATTTGGGACTATTGTGCCAGTTTAAACTGTAGGCACGAGTGTGCAGTTATGAGCATCCATTTCCCCTGAAGTACAGCATCAGACTTTCATAAACATCAACTATGAGCTGCAGCAGTAAAACATGTCTATTCATTCCCTGCATCAGGAAGACATAGCTCAAGTTTAAATAACAAAATGTGACATCTCTCTTTCTACAAGTGCCTGGTCTGCACCTATTGCCAATCCTGTTACTGAGGATTGCAGATACATAGCTTGAATCGGATTCTGTTTTACCACCACATAAACTTACCAGGCAGACTCTGCCCAAGCTTTTGCATATCTTGAAACAAGAACCTTAGAATATAGCCTTTTAGGTTTCCAGTAATTAATATATTTTATCAAACATATGTTTTATTGGAACCTGCTGGCCTTATCTACTTGATCAAAAGCAGAAAACCACCACACACTATGACAGAAAGGAAAAAATCACTTTCTTCTAACCAAGACTCTTCAATTTCTTCCTGCACGTTTCCTGCTTTAACATACGCTTAATACACAATATATTTTATAAACAGTGTATGGTGGTCTCCCAGTGTCATGTCTGCTTAGCATAAATAGATGACTGCCTCGTGTGTAAAACATTATAAATGTACGTAATAAGAGAAAAGGACTGCACAGATTCATGTCAGTGGAAGTTTTCTTAAGGTTCTTAAGTTAGGTAATTTTTTATTTTATTCAAACTTTCCATTCATTCAGTGTGAATGTGCAACTGGAAGCAGATATATCCTTTTGCCTGAGATACTTTTACATCATTTTGCAACAGTACCTTGGTTCTGTAATCAAATAGCACCTGAGAGCACTTTCCTGTGAAGCTATTATTTTCAACGTAAAACCAAAAGGAAATATATATTCTCCTCCATGTACATTCAGCATTCATTATTCTATTTAATCCCAAATTAATGTGTTTCAAATGCAAAACTGCATTATAAACTTGTGGAATTAACCAAAGTGCCGTGTTAAGGACAGATTCCTGATGGTGGGAAAGACATTAGAAGAATAACAGCTCTCAAGGTTTAAGTGTTGCTGCAGGGTATTAAACTCCATAGAAGAGTGCAAGTCAGACGTGTCAGGTACTTTATATTCATGGACAATTTCACAAAGGAGTTGATCGTGCTCTACTTACATTATGAAAGCCAATAGGAATGGCATGGTTACCAGTGTAAAGACTTCAGTATTGAGCCTGTCACATTGGCTGCTAGGGAGTTTTTTATATTAAGTGTTCAAAGCCAAACATTCTTGTAGGTATTTACTATTAAATTGTTTCATAAAGGCCACTTTGAGCTTTCAGTTCTCGAAATACTGTAAATTTGCATGAGAGCCTTGGGGCAAAATGCAGAATTGATATAGGTTAAAATCACTATTGCAGGATTCAACCCTGAGTCCATAACTACAGTTGGCATAATGAAAAGAAACAGATTTACCACTCAGCTGTATAAATCTGTGACAAGCAAATAACTGCCGTGTGTTTATTTCCCTGAATTCCTAAAATTTTCATTTTAATGAACAAAAAATCTAGGTATTCTGTATGCTGACACAAGCAAATTACAATATAGTTTCTACAATATTTTTCTGTTAAATTCCTGTTTGCAACTCTTACTTATCATGTAAAGAAATATGCAGACTATTAAAAGCTACAGCTATTCCAGATGGAGACTCATTATCTCTTACAAAAGCTGTCTCATTTTATGTGAAACACCTAACACACAAACAACTCTGAATGTTACACAATTGATGAGCTTGGTTTTCCTCTCTGCAATTAGTCCAACTTTACATGGAATAGTTTCAAGTAAAAGACCTGAGATCCTGTCCACAAATAATTTTGCCCTTTAACTTGGCAATGAGGACTATGAATAATCCCAAGAAGCTGAGGGATTTTAGAATAGGCCTTAGAATGTTCAGAACTGACCTAAGAGGTTGTATTT